AAAAAATTTCTAAGTTAAGAATGTTTTGCACCATTGTTCTAAAAATCATAACTTGAGCTACAAGCTTCTTTTGAGAAAACTTTGTGAATCAAAGTTGTAGATTTTGCAATATACTACAACTTTCATGTTTTGACTTTAGCTTGAATCCATTTGCATCTTAAAGAAAAAATGGGACAAAGTTAGGAAAAAATTAGGAAATTTCATAACTTAGAAAATTTCTAAGTTATGAAATTTCTTCATTTTAAACCCTAATTTGTAATTCTTGGTTTCTTGATGAAAAAGTTTCATAATTTGACATGTCTTGATGAAAAATGAATCTTGACACTTGATTTTGACCAAAAAGTCAAAGTTTGACTTTTCAGTATACAGTCAAATTTTGCTCAGTTGACTGGAAAATTCATCTGTCAATCTTGTGCTTTTGGGATTTTTTGAACTTGTTGAATATGTCAAGACCATGTCATTGAGTCCTTGAGTCCATATGTGAGCTTGGTTTACCATTGGCTAGGTCAAACAGTCAAAAATTGCCTTTGTGCAGTCAAAACCCTAAAAATGACCATTTTGCCCTTTTGGTGATCTGATCAGATTTCTTATGGAATTGTGATCCAAACTTGATTAAATGTTTCATATGAGTTCACAATGTTGATGAGGGTCAAAAATCATGAGGTTTGACTGTCAATTGACCACAGTTGACTTTTTCCCCAATACAGCTGATTTCTAGGTCAACTGCCCAATTGACTGGGCAAAGATTGGAATCAAGGCTTGAAACTTGGTATGGATAAACTTGTGGGTCAAACATGAAGCATGAAAGTCATCTTGGGCATTTTAGGTCAAAACATCTTTGTGCAAACTCAAACCCTAATTTGGGTCAACAGTGCAAGGGGAAGTCTTGAGCAGAGCAAACCCTAACTTGATCTTGAGCTCCAAGTGTCTTGTGGTGAGAAAATATTGAAGAAATGAGAGGGCAAATTTTGGGGTACAACAGGTACGTAGGCACGAAGGTCTGGATGTCTTGGCGAATCAAAAATAACAAAAAGTACTTATTTTATCATCTCCCAAATATTTGTTGCAAACAACTATTTTAGCCTAACACAAATTTTCAAGAGATTCCTACAGAGTACCGTAGATGTGACAGGTACTAATATCTTCTCTTTACTTAACTAATTCTTGTTCCTAGATCTTTCTCTTTTGGGTTTTATCGATACTTTCCATCGCTAATATTATATTGGTAAAAGTGTATTTAACCCTAATAATAAAAGTAAACTCATGGATAGATCCTTGATTATAAAATGGATTTGGATATGACTGATAGCCATGTCTACATAGAGGCTAATTGTAGCTAGAAATGGATTAGAGATTATGGAATCTATGTGTAATTATAATTCATGTCTGAATCTTATTAAAGCCTTGTTTGATGAAGATTTGACGGGGAATCCCCTTCCCCATGTTGCTTTTGTGTACTATTTTCTCTTTGACTTAGGTCTTCACTTTAACACAAAAAATTGATTTTTCTTTCATATTTACTTTTAATTTAAAACTAAAACTCTTAACTTTTAATTATTATTTATTTAACAATTAAAGTTTTCATATCAACAAAAATATTCATGTTTTGTGTATTCATTTCTCACATTGCATCATAACTTTTATTAACTTCAATCAAATATTTTTATAAGATTAGTTTCCTTTAAATAAAGAATGATTATTATCAATTTATTTCTTTTTTGTTTTGATGTTTAAAATATTGTAATTGATATTTTACTATAACTAAATTATCAATTGTAATATATTAATTTAATTATTGTTAAATTAATTAATCTATTTGTTTTTTATATTTTATATATTTAGAGACATAAATTATCGCTGAGAGAGGATAGCAGAAAAACATAAGACATGGAAGCCAAGTATAAGACCATTTTTAAATACCACATGAAATCATCATATTAGTAGCAGAAATACAAAATTAACATGAAATTGTAGTTTGATAGCACATTTAGGCACATACGCCATACAACTGACATGATTTCAAGCAATTTCCTACAAAATCCCTAATTGCTAAAACCCCCAAGTCTTAAATAAGGACTCAACTTGATTGATGGCGAATTACTGGTTCAGAATCAAGGGTGGATGCTGAAGGAATCAAAGGGTTGTATTTTCTCTTGATGCATGCAAGGAATGAGATGAAGGTTGATGATGGTTCTCACTTTTCCTTGCTTTTACGTGCTCCACACTTTTTTCCTTGCAAATTCTTATTTTGGAATAAAGGAACAAGATGGAGAAATGAAGAATAAGTTAGAATTCGATATTCTATTTTAAAGATGAAAGTACCAATATGCCCTTTCCATTTTTTGGGTTAATCACTACCGAAAACCCCAATTAATAGAGCAATTTACACCATTATTCTCCTAATTAATGACACTAATAATTCATTAGTGCATTAATTAGCTAATAGTTATATTGAAGTATTATATTATCTATCCCTCTTAAATAAAATTTTCCCTCGAATTCAAAACTAGTCAGAAGAGATGAGAATAGAGTTCCCGCACCTCCGACTCAAGCTCTCAAGTAGCTTCATCTGGATGTGATTTCTCGTACAGAACCTTCACAAGAGGTACCTCCTTATTTCTCAAGGATTTACTAGCATACTTGAAACAATCGGCTGAACAAATTATCGAGATGAAATCAATGAAGTTTCCACTGAACGATTTTTATCCCGCATAAAGGGAAAGGTTAACATCGACTAAACCTGAAAATGGTGAAATCAAGGTCAAACGACCGAGAGATACGGGTAAGAAAATAGACTACGTGAGAGGAAGGCATTAGCACCCCTCACGTCCGTGGTATTACATGGGCCACTCTTGTTGTTCTAATTAAAGGGTGTGTTCAACTATATAACTTAAGGTCTAAAAAAATAAAGGGTGAATGCATGCAAAAGAAAACACATGGAAAAGAAGGAAATATTTACAAAGTTTCGCTCGGCTGAGCCCCGCGATCAAATGCCTACGTATCCCTTTTAAGGAATCAGAGCGTCGTAGTTCAACTCACATGTTTCGATTTGTTTTATGTGTTTTATAGATAATATCGCATTCGCATCCTTAAAGTTAGGATTGCAACTTGTGCTTGGCGTTGCAGCTCGTAAAGAGACTCATGCTCGGCCCCTCGCATTGGTTAGTGTTTTTTATCCTGAAAAAGGATTTGAGAAATTTTAGATGTTTTATGTATTTGCCAAAGAAAAAGGTTTTAGTTTTAAGGATGAAAAAGGGAAGAAAAAATATAAGGGAAACTATCATAAATATAATTACTAATGTTATCATACAATGATGGTCCTAAGATCAAAGATAAAAGGGGAATATCTACCTATGTTAGCATGCATGGATTACAATCCGAATGTCTATCTCGAATCTCCACCAAAGGTTGAATCGAGAGATCCTAAGAAATCATGGCAAAGTTTTAAAACCTAAATAAAAACATAAGCACAAGGTGCGAACAAGCAAAGATGAGCCGAAACAAATAAACAAAGCTTGAGGAGTATCCACTCACTCAAGCAGCACACACCTAACCTAGGTATCGTGACACCAAGGTAGGATAAGGAGAGGGATGTCTGACCATGATGTCGTATCATCGAGGTAGGAAAAAGGAAGTGGGGCACCTAACAATGATATTGAATCATCAAGGTAGGATAAAGGGATGCTTAGCCAAGAGATTGAATCGTCGAAACAAGCGAAATGGAGGAATAATGATTCTTAACCGTGATATCAAATCATCTGGGCAAGAAAGAAAAGGGTATCGACTCATAACCAAGATATCATATAATCGGGGCAAGAGAAGAACAAAAGTGAATCGTCATAAGTGACTAAACACCTGACCAAGATATCGCGAATCGAGGTAGGAGATAGAAGGCAATAATGAGATCACATCAAAGCGTCAATGTTTCACAAACGCGAGTTAAAGACAAAGTGTGGGGGATTGGTTATGAATCCCTTTTCCATCTGACCAACTCGATAACATGAGTAGCACAGTTCATAACATTAACACACGATGCGTGCTACGAACGACACGAACAAGAAATGGAGGGGTCGATTACAGACCCTTTGTTGCCTTGCCTTCTTTGAGAACTTATCAATGGGAATAGGAATGGGATGCCTTCATCAAGATCTTTGGCACAAATATAAACACACAAAATGGAAAATAAATAAGCACAAGTAGAATTGCCTTAAACAGGTCTTTAAATAAAATCAGATTTACCTCAAATGGACTCCCAGAACATGCATCTCTATTCTACTTCTCATGACAAGGAAAGCGATAAATTATAATGCATCTATATTACTACTTCTTATGGAAAGCGGTAAATGATGCGGAAATATAAATCAGCATCAGTGTAATACAAAACGAACAAGAGTTTGTAGTGTCATACCCCAAATTTGCCCAACCCTTATTTTATATTTAGAGTTCTTTTTAAAATAAATCATATTATATAATTTTTATTTCTATAGGGGGTGTGAAACATCGGAGAGAGGTGTATGGATCCAAAATGGACCATCAATATCTGATGGCCCATTAAGCTCTAATAAAGATCCATTTTAAATTAATAAGGGGAGTATTTATTTTAAAGAAGATGTGGAGAAATCTTTTTTTATTCAATGTCCAATAACCGAAATAGTCTGGCCCGTTTCAGTTTTTGGGCTTTGTTTTGAAAAATGTTTTGCTATAGCATTTTTGTTATTATTACTATTATTTTTTATAAAAATTATTAATAATTATATTAAAAACTTAGTTAAAGATTAATTTTTATTTATTTGATTCAAGGAGGAGGTGTTGATAAAAAGTTATCTTTTTTTTAAAAAAAGGCCCAGCCCAAATCGAGTTTTTTGTTTGGCCAAAGGTATAGAAAAAAAAAAAGAATTGATTAAACTGTTTTGTTAATTTCTAAAAAAACGCGGCCCATCACCATTCAAAAACTGCTTGGTCCAATAAATCTAACAGAGGCAAATCACAATTCAAAATGTATGACACACAACAAAACTATTACTGTTCAAATCATAGGCAGATTAAATAACCCCTTTTCATTCTCTGTTTCAGAAATCGAACGGGGTAATGTTAAATCAGTAAATGCAGAAATAAATCTTCTTTCATCGAAACAAAATCAAGAGCAAATAATTATAGAAATTGAATTGAATTTATTTCCAAGAGAAACATAATGATATTTCCTAAACAGCAAAACCTAAAAAAGAACATTACATTCAAAGCAAATTATTTTGTTTCCCAAAAATTGCCTTCCTAAATCACTATAAGAAGAACGAAATTACAACAAGAAAAAAGGGGGGGGGGGGGAGGATATTAGATCAAATTTGAAAAACAAAAACAAGAAGTTCTTCCTTCCAATTCGTCCCTTTCCGTTAACCCCATCCCTCACCTTCTTCCGTCAACCTCCGAACAACCTCTCTCCGCCTTTACTCCTTCTGTGCTACGCCCAGCCACCCATCTCCCATCACCTTGAACGGCTCACTTCTCCATCAACCTTCGCATAACCTGCTATTCTGCAACTCACCCTCTCCACAACTTATTCCCACACTTGATCTTCAAACCGAACCTCCACGATCAGCTTACACCAACAATTGCCGAGCAACCCAGGCCACCCAACAACCACCAGTCCTTTTTCCCGTCGTAACTCCATCGGCCATCAATCCTCACACAACCTACAAACCTCTGTGCGAACCACGACCCTCCGCCACTGAAGCTCAACAACGGACCACCATCGAACTGTTACAGCTCCCACACGTCCATACAGATATCCATTTCCGAACAGCCTCTCTCCGCCTTTACTCCCTCTACGCCCACGCCTCCACCAATCTGAAATCACAACCTTCCAAGCGCCCGGATTCCGTGACCACCGAAAATAGAGAAAGAAGAAGGAGCAAAAGATTGGAAAAGAAAAAGAAAAAGGATCGTGTTTTAAGAGGAGATAAAATCTGAGTTTTGTTTCTCTCTCTTATATTAAGGTATGGTGTTTTATTGTTTTTTATACTTTTTCTTTTAATTAAAATGACACGTGTTTATATATTATTGGACATGAGGTTATAACTTGAAAGTTCCAAAGATTGAAGAGAAGGACATCCGCCACTGCTTCTTTACTTCATTTTCTTTTTTTATTATTCTTTCTTAATTGTTTTTATAGAATTAGGGTTAGTCTATTATTGGTTTGTGGGCCTAAGTTTGCTATCTCTTATTCCTTAAGTTTTTAATACACCCCCTATTTTAACCATACACCCACTAATATACTTTTTTATTTATTTTAGTCATTCTATCTAATTAAGTTAGTATATTTACTTCAATTAACTTAATTATTTTAATATTTTCTTTTAATTGTTAATTAAAAACAATAAAGAGTCTAAAAGGCAAAAAAAGATCTTTATTAGATTTATTGTATTTTTTAGGTTAATCTTTAAATTAGAAATTATACGTAAATTCAAATATTTTTTTCTAATTTAATTAATTCAGACATTTCACAAATAATGGAATGTCTATCTTTGAATAATTAAATGGGTCTACACATCGTCTACCGATTTATTATTCAAAATCAAATAATTAAAATCCAAGCGATTCACCTAATAATCTATCTGAGAATGACGCGTGGTCAATATCTGGCCACGTGATGAGGAGACTATATCAGACTCCCCGCTCTACGTCTAAAAAAATAAAACATTCAATCAAACATCAAATCTTTTTTTTTTGCAAATTAAAATTAATTCAAACAATTAATTTTCGAAAAGGAATATGAATATATATAAATTAACTGCGTACTTGGTCTAACAAACTCCGCTATTCACACTCTTAGACTACGTATGCAGGAAATTCAAAATATATTTCGGAATCCATAAAAAACACAAACAACCCTGCGAACTACGAAATGGGACTCTGATTCCTCCTAATAGGATACGTAGGCATACAATAAAAAATTGTGGCGAGTCCCGCTAACTAAAATTTAAACCTTTTTCTTCCAATATTAATTAAAAACCCCATTTCCCAAGAACACGCTTCTAAACCTAGTATCCTTGCGTACAAGATAGATAAGGAGTGTCTAACATCTTCCCCTCGTCTAGAACCGAATCCAAATCTAGAATCTCTGATCTTTAGGATTATTTCTTTATATCCCCTTTCTTTAGGATAAAAATTAAGGGTGACGACTGTTATTTAAAAACCACTTGCAACACGTATCAAGCAAAACCATAAATACTCTAGAAAACTTTGCGCAAGCAAAATTTGAATCGGAGAGGATGAAGCCTAGCTGGAATCACTATCGGAATGAGGAGGGAGTCGCCGGAAGGACTTACGCGATGGAGGGAGTGCTAGATTGCGGCGGACTTGGCCTAATTGGAGGGAGAATCCCCCGTCTTTCGACGATTTGACGATGCACAGACGGCGGGAGGAAAGGAGATCGTGGTGGTTTGTTGTTTGGAGAGAAAAGAAATTTTGAGTTTATTGAATTTTTTGTGAATTTTGGTTTGATGTTCTTAAAGATTCTTGATGAAGATCTTGAGAAAAAGTTGAGAGAAATGGTTTTGATCTTTGAGAGAATAGTGATAAATTTTTTTAGAGGTTTGTGAGAATCATAGTCTATCCCTTTGGAATCTGATTTTTGAAATATATATTATCTACAATTGGGCCTTATATTTGAATTAGAATTGGGCCTTATTTTGATAGTGTCAGCAGATTTAATGCCCAATGCGGGAAGAAAATACAAGATCATCATTAGTGTGAAATCTCGACTCGAGCCTTGAAGCAAAAATGAAGATGACGAAACTTTTGACCCGATGCCGAAAGAACAAACGTGATACAACAAAAAACAAAGAATTTATGACCATCAGAGCGACGAGAATTTCTGCCTCTAACAAACTCATTTTCAGTTTCAGCTTATTTTATTGTTCCACTTGCAAGACAGACCATAAACGGAAGCCTTCAGAATACCGTTTGAACTTGAGGTCTGAAGCAAAGTTGTAATAGACAAATTTTGAACCAATGCTTCAAGAATTAACGCAATATGATAAAAATTGAGAGAGATACAATTTTTATAATATCAAGAAAATAGTGAACCAACATTTCATTTTGCTGTAAAAATACTCTGGTAATTCGCACCTTCGGAGATCTTCTACGAAGAATCAACTCTCGGCCCGAACATATGATTCAAGATAAAATCAAGATGAATTTTTTGTCCAAGGAACCACTCAAAAACTTCAAACCGGGTGAAAGTTATGAATTTTTGAACGTCCAAAAAATAACGGTTTAGCACAATATTTTCATTGTTTTTCACTTCTTAGTTTCAAAGTACTCGCGCATTCAGAGATCTTCCTCAATGAACTGGCTTCCAACCTGAATAAAAAAATTGAAGGAAATAACAAGACGATTCAAATTCTCTAAGAGGAACTCAAAGGTGATATACTAGTCAGAAGTTATGAATTTTAAGCATCCGAAAATCAGAGAAACGGTAAATTCACTGTATACCGCATATCAAGTATTTTGCGCTTTAGAAAATCTTCCACACAAAATTAGCCTTTGACATGAACAAATGAAATTAAGAAGACCTCAAGAAGATTCCAAATACTGAAGAATTATTCCCAAACCATTTTCAGATCTCAAGTTATGAATTTCTGAGCTTGAAATGCACGGTACTAAATTTTTGTTTGCATTGTCTCAAATCAAATGAAACACTTGACTTTTTAAACAATTCAGAGAGTGTTGAGACACGCGAGCTTGATATTATGATGACTTTATTGGTTGTTGATTGGATGGCTTGGAAACTGTGCAGAGTGCATTAAAAATCAGGAAACTCTGAGTTCTGATTCACAATGTTGTTTAACGGAACAATCAATTTTTGCAACTCTTTCTTGCATAGACATGCCTTGATTCCATGAATATTTCACCCTATGACATATATGGATGCATATGACGATGAAGTATAAGCCAATTATTGTAAAAATAAAGAGGGCGAATTTTGGGGTGCAAAAATACTCTAGAATGCAAATGGGTTGCAGTTGGAAAGAGAGATATGGTCCACATTGACCGTATTTAGAAGAATAGGATGAAAAGAATATGGTACATACTTCTGAAGTTGTGACATATGGAATACATCATGCAACCCAGATAGGGAGGGTGGTAATGCCAACTAATATGACATCTCCCCTACCCGAGTCACAATCTAATAAGGTCCCATATATCTCGGACTAAGTTCGCATGTCTTAAATGATCCTATTAACCTAAGCCTTAGGGTAACCTTCAAAATTACATGATATCTTTCTTGCAATTCTAATGGTCACCTTCATTGATCCACATAACTCTTTTGGCAATCTTGAGCCTTATTTATATTTTCTTGAATCATTTTGATCTTCTCTGTAGTTTCCTGAATTATCTTAGATCCAAGAATCCCCTTTTCCCCCACTCCAGACCAATATAACGGCGATCGAAACTTCCTTCGTATAGGGCCACTTCAATACTGGAATGATAACTGTTGTTATATGCAAAATCTATCAATGAAAAGTGGTTTTTCAAACTTCCGCCACTCTCTAAGATGCATGCCCTTAACATGTTCACAAAAGTTGAATTGGTCTTTCTATCTTTCCGTCAGATTGAGGATGATTAGCAGTACTCAGGTCAAACTTGTTCCCATCTCCTTATGAAACGTGCTCCAGAGTTTCAAAGTAAACTTCGGGTCTCTATCTGCTACAATGTTGGATGGTACACCATGCAATCACAAAATCTATGCTATAAATAACCTTGCGAGGTTAATGACATTATATGAAGTCTTTACGGGTAGGAAATAGGTGGACTTGGTTAGCCTATTGTCGCTACGCGAAAAAACAGAGTCTCCATCGAACTTTATTTATTCCAAAGGGGAAGGGAAACATCTAGAAAACCCTAAAAGGTGAAGAAAATGGTCTCGCAACTAAATTCAGGTTCAGAAGTTGGTTATGCAAGGGGAAGGTATTAGCACCCCTCACATCCGTTGTACTTAATGAGATCCACTTTGTTTGTAGACTCATGTGTTACCTATATTGCAGTAGAACAGAAATAACACGCCCTTTTTGAAAAGGTTTTAAAGAAAAAAACCCTAAGGCAAAAAGGTTTTGATTGGTTGAATTATTTTGTTAGAGACTGGATAATAAATGGTCTCCGACGTGGGGGGCACTTAGCTACACAGAGAATCAAGAATAATACACCATCAATTTCTTTTCCACCTTTAGTTTTGAAATTGTTTGTGATTTGAATCACAGTAAAGTCTATGAATGGAAGAAGAACAAGGTTAGGAATATACTTTTCATTCTTTTTCATTGCTTAAGGCTCAATGACGTACGATTCACCTCGTATTTTTAAAGTGTTTTGAATTGTTTATGAATAAGAGTTTTTTTTTTATGTGCAAAATGATTAAGGAAATAATGAATGCAAAATAAAAGGAATTTTTCTATGTTGTCAAGCAAAGATGAGAGAGACCTAAAATCAGGATTTTAAGAGAAAATCTATCTAATGTTATCATGTTATGGATCATGGTTTATAACCTAAAGTATTCTAATTTTAATTCAATTTAATCAAGCAAGAGACCTTAATTAAATTGAACCAAAACAAGGCCTAAGGAAACATACAATGGGGTCACGATTATGGGTTTCTAGCCAAGAGAATCAAGCAAAAATCATCAATTATCAACCATAAAATCAAAGTAAAAAATGTGACAAAAATAGAGTAAAAGAAATCCTAATTTTTACACACTAATTTAATCAACAAAAATTCTAAACAAATCCTAAGTCTAAAGATTATTTTTAGTCCTAAAGTTAATCTAGATGGATGTCCTAAAATGTTAGAGAAACTATTCTAAAAAATAAAATATATGTTAGTATGTATGTAAGAATGATGGAAAAAGAATGTTGTTGGACTGCTGAAAGAAAAAGAAAAAGAACTAAAATCTGGCCCACTTTTTTATTATCGAG